TTTTGTACCTGATGATGACAAAACCTTGTCGAAACGTTGTACATTTGCTGTTATGTTAAACTTATATTAAAGTTTTTCTTCATTACCCATTCAAGCCATCTCCAGTAATGAGGTTATATTAAAACATTAACTACACAATAACTATTACCAATTCAGATTTGTTTTATTTTGAATTTTGTACAAAGCTATTTCAGAGCTATTTGTGCTAGCCATTTCTAATTTTGAATTGATAGACTAGATGAAGGATCTTAACACCAATAACCTTTGTTTCATGCAATGCACAATGGAACTTATGTTGCAAGATACAGTAACATTCAGATGGTGAAGTTCATTCACAGCATATACTTCTACTTTTCTGTTACAGTTCATCGTTAAGAAGTTTTGCTATAAAAAGTTTCTTTTTGAATTTTGTGCAAAGCTATTCGAGAGCTACCCGCACTAGCCATTCCTAACTTTGAACTGATAGATTAGAGGGAAGGCAGCTAGTCAACACTACCTACTGCCAACTCTTGGGCTATTCTTTTACCAGTGAATGATGAGATTGATCATCACATTATAGGACCCCATTGGTTGAAAGGGCAAGCATGTTTGGAAACTAATTCAGGAATGTTGGTTAGAACTAAATAAAAAAGACACACACAACATGCAATTATAATGAGTTTTTCTAAATCATTTTGCTAATATTTAATTTTGGTATAAATTTTTAGAATGGTTTTGAATATTGCATGTAAATGAACTACTGTCATATAATCAGACCAATTAGTGTTAAATAAGAAGCATCATATTGAAATCATTCTAATGACAGAATGGTAAGAATTATGCAAAAATTAATCACACGTTAACTAAATTCATGATAACTTAACTAACAGTATCAGAATAAATATTCAAAGATAATATAAATTAGACAGTATTTAAATTTTGATGTCTGATTGGTTTTCCAATAGATTATTTTATTGCTACAAACCCATATTAACAAATTGGCAACCAGTTCAGAGGGTGCTCCTAATCACTAGGAAAAGGAAGATGAGATTCAAGAAGTAGGTGTACATGAGAATCAAATCTAGCAACCCATTTAAAAAAATACTCATCATCATTTACTCATATACATGTTACAATGGCTTTAGTTTATTTTCACCCTAACTATTACTTTAACAATCGTGATATGAGAAAAACAATAGGTTCAAGAAGTCTTAATATAAAATGTTAAAAACCCTATAACCCAAGCACATTTGAAAGGTGGACCTTTCTTCTTCAGTTTGCCCCTGAGAAAGAAAGATCCACCTTTCCAAAGTGCTCAAGTTATAGTGTTTATCATTTTATATTACTTCAACAAGACAGGGTACAATAATTTTTCTATATTATATTTGATATCACATTATTAAAGTAAAAATCTCTGTGCTGTTAATGATGCATTCATGTTTTTTTGGTGTATGTATTTTAGACTTGTCTGAAACTGGCACAGTTGTTTCAACTAACCTATATTTTTAATTACATTCCTTAAAATATTTGAATTGATTCTCCTGACTAACAGTCCTGAGTTGCTAAATATCACATATACACACCAAAAATTATAATAAGCATGTTACAACAAATAATTAGATCAAATATTCAAATTAATAAGTATAAACTAAATAGTTAGTATCTCCTGACTTTTGGGTTACCCTATAATTTTTAACTTAAAAACTAACCAAATTAAACACCTACTTTATACTCTCCATACACAGACTCCATTGTATTTCTGTCTTCCTTTTGCACCTTCCTAATGATGAAGAAATACAAACTGAGAAATTGTACAGATGCTGTCCTGAACAACTGATCTTTACCCAACATTCCAAAATTAGTACAGACACTGTCCTGTACAACTGATCTTTACCCAACATTCTAAAATTAGTACAGACACTGTCCTGTACAACTGATCTTTACCCAACACTCCAAAATTAGTACAGACACTGTCCTGTACAACTGATCTTTACCCAACACTCCAAAATTAGTACAGACACTGTCCTGTACAACTGATCTTTACCCAACACTCCAAAATTAGTTCAGATGCTGTCCTGTACAACTGATCTTTACCCAACACTCCACAATTAGTTC